AATTCTTATCTTTTGATGGAATAAAATTTTCTTTAACTTATTTTAACTCAACATAAATCCAAGATTTTCGAACATTAGATTTTTCGACGAGACTCGTGATACAATGGTTGGGATATTTTAATATTATTCTTTGATTATATTGGCAAAATTTAATGGCAGTCACAACGATACTTAAATAAACTATTCAACTATAAAATATCACACACACCTAATAATTATCCGGTTCTTTCTCCGTACCATTTATACAAATAAATTCAAACCCTTATATTAAAACTCATATCAAAGAAACATTAGGTATGAAATTAAGATCAAGTACCTTATAAGCAGAGGTTCACCCTTTATCAGAACCGTCTCCTTACACCCCTGGTTAACTTGTCTCTCATACACTCACACTACTCATCCCTTGGACAATCTCGCCCGCTTCCGGAGGCAAGACCTTTTGGCTGGCGCAAAGGCTCGACTGCCTGATTTTGATGTGTAATTTATTTTTGAAATACGAGACTTCACCTGGTAAAATTCCTAAACCAATAATTACCTTATCCGGTCTCAGTTTATATAAGCACTATTATTAACACACGTCTCTCCAGGTTTTGGAAAACTTCTAATTTTCCCATTCCTTTACTATACAGATCTCTGCAAAGTTTCAAATTATGACAAATATTTTAACCTGTATAATCGTTGTTTTTGCAACATTTCTACACTGGGCCCTTTCGATAAACAAACCCAATTTTCACCCCTTGTCCAGTTTTATCTAAAATAGTTATTAAACTCAACCTAAATAATAATCAATCAAGTCTTATCAAAATGCTGTCAAGTAAAGCATCCTTATATATATATATATATATATATATATATATATATATATATATATATATATATATATATATATATATATATATATATATATATAGTTCTAGATTTGTTATTTATAGTCGTAAATAATAGTTTCTCGTCCTCAACCAGTTCAAATTCGTTTATCTTCATAAATTCTTTTCCTTTTCCAAATGATGCAAAAAATAAATAAATCGTATCTCTAATTAGCAGTGAAATGATGTTGTGTAAAACAGAGATAAACTTGGACTGTTCTATGCATAAATTGTACGGCAAATACCACTCTTGCTAGATGTAACCAATCTCTAGAGATAGCATTTATCGGAAAAAACTTTTTTCTTTGGGCAAATTGACAAAACGCAGTGCACAGCTAGCGAGAGAATAACGTAGTTATATAATCCTAAAATATATCGTTTGTTGTATGCTTTCAATTATAATAACATTTCAAATTGGATGTTTCCCTTAGAGATCTCATCTGACCTCACCTGACAATAATCAATGATAATAATTCTACAAACTGTACTTTAAGAAGCCAAATAGTAATTATTTTATTTTCTAAAGAGAAGAAAATGAAAGCTAACGATATTTGTTCATTTCGAAATGGCAGAGAAGCAGGTTGACGTTTATTAAGAAACAAATACACAAACATAGACATATGTAAAGATTAGCATTATGCAGCTTTACAATAATTAATTGTCTTTAAGCAAGTTAGACGTATCTATCATACAACTAATCTTAACGAATTTTCAGTAACTTAGACATGTTTATGATACAACTAAAGATGACGAGTTTTCAGTAACTTGAACATGTTTATCATACAAATAAACTTGAGTTTTCAGAAATGATAAATGAATTTAAAGGTGCATATGCGTCTGTGTTGAATTAAGATAGGATCTGTGCAAGACTCTGCCCGAATATTACGTGTAGCATTATTCTAATGAGACTTTCTACGCCTTAACTGCCTTTTCATAATTTCCACTAGATGTGGCTTTGTACATTATATATTTCTGTGCCCCAGTTTGTCAGCATGGTGAATATTTTATTTTGATTAAATATGCAAGACTGGATCATGTTAGAGTCACATTTGGTATGTAATAATATTATGTTTGCATTAATGCTATTGCTTCATATGACAGTGATTCTGACGTAATTGTCAGTAAGGGACTAAATACAGAAAGTGAAGTTCACTCCTCATTTCTGTATTTCTTAATTTCAAAAATTATTGATAACATTCTTATTGTATCTCATCTGTGCGTGCGTGCGTGTGTGTGTGTGTGTGTGATTTAGATTTTTAACGTAGCGTTATAATTAAATATTTTTCAGATATCGGTTTGAACCTGAGACCTCCCGCATCCGAAACGGACGCTCTAGCTACTAGGCCACTGGAGAGTTCATACACACAAATTTGTTATATCATTTATTAGTCTGTGACTGATTCTCATGCCAAATCCAATTCTAAAATGTTATTTGAAACTTTCAGACTGATCAGAGAAAGATGCTATGCCATCAGAGTTACTGTCAAACTTTGCAGCCTTGAATTGTAATTGATCATTATTATGTTTGATCCTTATGGCAAGACACGCTCACTCTACATATAATTTGATCCAAATTTTGCAATGTTTTCATTACGTTTACGAATATGATATCAATCAAATATAAAAGTTCACGCCCAGACCATAAGGTCTGATTAATGTAAAGCTTCTAACGCCAAATAAACATGGAACACTATATTACATATAATGATACAATTAGGTTCTTTGAGTCTATAGAAGGATACACAAATTGCAACTTCAAGTTTGTCACTGACGGTGAACATAGGGTCAGTTTGAAGGACTGCTCCTGTGGTCTAATTGCTAGAGCGTCCACCTCAGATGCGGGATTTAGCGCGTTTGATCCTCGGCTTAGTCATAGCAAAGAATTATAAAAATGGTACTATGAGCTGCCTCTTTTGGCGCTCAGTATTAAGAGATTAATTTAGGACTGGTCGACCTTTGTCTGAATAATGTGACTGGGTGGGACATCACAGTAGGATCTCATGTTACATGTCTGCAGCATGATGCCCCAAATGCTATGCATCACTATTAACTGCCACATTGCAGACATCGTAGTGATATAACTGAAAAATTGTTAAAGCTACGATAAAAAATCTAAATCCTACATCACCCTCACTCACTATATATGAAATGGTATGTTACCTCTAAATGTCACAAAAATCTTTCAAAATTTAATTGTTGAATGACAATAGTTTATATCACTAATCAATAAGAACTCTTTCATCAAGAAACTAAGAATGAAGTAAACTAAACCTATTTAAATCAACGCAAAGCCACCACAAAGGGCCAAACGTTTACATGTAAAATTTGTTCTGAATGCGATGGCATTGGTATATATTGTGTTTATTTAACAATGGTTAAACAAGATTCAAAATGTACAGCATGCTGAATCAAAGTAAGCAGCATTTGCCTTATGGGAGTCTTCTTTACCGACAGATGCAACCATTAGAAAGAAGACAGATTGATTTATAATAGCACTTTCGCTCTCTTTATCGATGTATGTGTCTCGCTATCCGTGATAATCGATATAATCACGATATATTCATTAGCAGTTTCTAAAGGATAGGAAATGACCATATTGATGCAAACTCCCTTGATGGAATTCTGATCTGAATTGTGCAACTCCGCTGGCAGACGTACCAGTCTATTCTCCAGTGTATATAAAGAACCGGTAGATCTGGGTTTATGCAGTTTATTAGGAGAAATCAGTTCACCAATGTTGGTCAAAGTGTTTGTAATTTAAAACTAATCAAAGCGATTGTTTTACCACAAAACACCACCCACCTCTTTCGCCATATTTTAATTTTATTCATTCCCGCTTTTGTTGATTACGAATTGTGTTGAGTGTTACACTGTGACGTACAAATTTTGAAAGCGAACCTTGTTTTACACAGATTATAAACTGCAGTAGAAAGGTCTCACCGGACAGTTGTTTTGGCAAATTTTCATCCGACAATGACCTATTGCAGAAAAATGATCATAATTTTACAATAAAGATACAAATAAAAACTAATTAATGATTTTTGTTTAAAGGATGCTTGTAAGATTCTGACTAAGGTATTAAGGTTAATTCCTTATACAACTGGTAGTTTTGATACTAAACCTATACTACCACCTACCCCTCTTTTTTACATTCATTTTTGACCGAAAAGAGCTATTTTCAACCTGTTCCTGTGAGAAGCAGGCTAACAGACTCAGACTCATTACATACCTTATTGATCTTGAAAGTTCACTAGTACTATAACAAATTAACATACTTTTCATCACCCCTCCACCATGTAGATTTTTAGATATTTACCTCTAAAGTAGACACATGTAAATAAGTTACGCATTTGATCTCCAGTGCGAGTCTAACTGTGACAGGCAGTCATCAACAAGGCATCCCATTTACAAGCCTAACTCCAAGTAAATGTAAACCGCGTTACAGATTTAGCTTATGTGTGAATTTATAAATGCTAGGGTTGCGATAATCAGGCTCATGCCTTCTACCTTAAAAATTAGGGGGGTGTCAAAATACGAAACTATCCAGTGAGACCAAAGTACGTCTCATTCCCGCAGACTGAGAATACTGGATCTTCCCATTTGTCCATAATACATGCGCTGTTTTCAGATTATTGCTCTATACATTATTTGGCTTATTATCCTTCCTGAGAGAGAAGATGTTTTCTGTCGGACATATATCACCTGATAGACACACTGGAGAGTCACAAAATAATTTAATGTCATTATCATAAATCTTGATTTCTTTGCGAAGCTTTACTGTCAGAAAAAATAGTTTATCAATGACTATATGTTACAATTAGTTACACTGCAATACTTGCAAGATGGATGCAAACAAAATATTCCAGTTTACTCCCAGTCTAAAGGGGCTCCCAAAAGTTTCAGATCTTTAAATTTATTTCTTTACAGTTTTATTATAATTAATATTTAAATAATAATTTAACCCGTGTTTGTTCGTTTAATATGTTCACCATTATTATATATGCAATACATTTTATGTAGACTACATAATTTACAGTGTAATAATTATCAAACAATTACAAAGTTCACTTTGTTACACAGCCTTATTCTCTTTTAAAACTTACCAAATAAGGCATCTACAGCTTCCCATAGCACCACTCTGATGGCCTAGTGGTTAGAATGTCGGACTTGTATGCGGGAGGTTGTGGGTTCGATCCCCAGTCGAGTCATACTAAAGACATAAACATGGTACTTGCAGCTGCCTCGCTGGGCACTCAGCATTAAGAGGTTAGTGTTAGGACTGGTCGTCCTGGTGTCCGGATAATGTGACTGGGTGGGACATCATGCTACATGTCTGCGGCATGATACCCCAGGGCTAGACATCACTATAAACTGCCACACTGCAGACATCGTAGCGATTTGACTTGAAAATTGTTAAAGCTACGTTAAAAATCCAAATCACACTTACACACACACACACACACGCGCGCGCGCGCGCGCTTCCCATAGCTTAGGATCTTAGCATGTCTAAACCCAGCCCTGCATTTAATCTAAGTAATTTAAATAAACTGGCCATATGAGAGCCCTTAAAACGGTGTATTGGATTATATTCTTCCATTTTTTTCTATCAACATATTTGGTGAGTTTTAACAGTTTGATAGTTATGTCACCTCCTATAAGATATATCACGAAAACATGATTTGAAATTGTATCATAAGCGTACATGTAAGATTTATCAAAACTTCAGATTGGCTTTCAGTTCTTTAAAAGTCGTATACTTAACGAATTAGACTTGTATTTAATATATATCATTGATCAGTCTGTTTGGTACGTCCTGTTTATGTAACACAAGAGCGTTGATCTATGTTGATTGATGTACATTACGTAATTGACTAGCGAGTCCTACTTATTAAGGATTACCTCCATCATTAAAAATTATTGTAATAAAATTAAGGAGATGCACATTTAGTTGTAGCGGCCCGTTTAAGCAATTCTTAGGTTTGTGATTACTTGTTTGATTATTGGAATTCGGTGTAATGGGAAATATTCCTTAACCCGAAACAAATAAGTCAGTTAATAAGAGGAGCAAACGTCACGGAGAGAAAGTGTTAGTGAGTTTCCAAGATACCATGGTCAATGAGTAGCGAATTCAGACCCAATCCGCATGACTGTCCCAGTTGAAATGTAGTACTTTATAAAATCTAATGGTGTACATCGGTGTTGTGACTGCAGCGGCAGTATTTATGGTAGAAAACCGGAAAATTACACAATGGAATAAATGAGAAAAGACTCGGAAGATACCGTTTATGTCGCCATAGTGGCAAATGTGATGTAGTTTTACTGGTGTGATGTGCCTTGAAACGGTAGATCGACTGGCCTCAGGTGGAGCAGTTAAAATAGTCCCCCTTGTTAGGGATAGTTGTAGAGTTTCTACGGTGTGATCTAATGGCTGAACGGAAAGTTAATGTAGAGAAACTATGCGGATGTGCGGTTGGTGGTTATTTGGCCAGTTGTAAATAATGTGGTCTTACATTGATTAGAGTAAATTTTATGAATAGAATGGACACGTAGGGCTTTCCAACTTACAACTGAAAGTGTATAGAAGTCTTTGGAAATTTGGGGTAAACTTATGACTTCTAACGGGATTCACGCTAGGGTTTTGACACCGCTCGGTCAAGCAAAAGACCATTGGCTTGTAAAATTATTTTAATCTTTCTTCAAATACACTCAAAGAATTGTACAGCTTTAAATTAAGAAATATCAAGGAGCAAAATGAAACTTGAACACATGTTGAATTGAACCCAGTAATGTCTGAAGTTTGCGTGCGACCTTATTTGCGACAAAATCTGGTCCATTCAACAGAAAATATCTGATATTAAACTCAGATTGAACATTAACCTTTAGGCACGCTAATTATGTTTAAGGAGATTTCGGGAGGTTTGTATCCGTGAACTTAATTGTATACAGAATCATAATTTTAAGAAATTGCATAAGATATCGGTTATGGACGTGAGAAAATAAATAACGAATAAATTGGTTGACATTTTCAAACAGATTTCTGTCGCATCTAACATTTAACATTAGATCGTTTTTGAAATGTATTCTTAATGTACTGAAAATTACGTTGAAATTTATTCTTAATGTACTGAAAATTACGTTGAAATGTATCCTTAATGTACTGAAAATTACGTTGAAATGTATCCTTAATGTACTGAAAATTACGTTGAAATTTATTTTTATTGTACTGAGAATGGCATTGAAATATATTCTTAATGTACCGAGAATGGCATTGAAGTGCATTCCTAATGTACCGAGAATGGCATTGAAATGTATTCTTAATGTACCAAGAATGGCATTGAAATATATCCTTAATGTACCGAGAATGGCATTGAAATATATCCTTAAAGTACCGAGAATGGAATTGAAGTGTATTCTTAATGTACCAAGAATGGCACTGAAATATATTCTTAATGTACCAAGAATGGCACTGAAATATATCCTTAATGTATTGAAAATGGTGTTTGAAATATATCCTTAATGTACCGAAAATTGCATTGAAATGCATCCTAATGTACCAAGAATGTCATTGAAATGTAACCTTAATGTACCGAGAATGGCATTGAAATGTATTCTTAATGTACCAAGAATGGCATTGAAATGCATCCTAATGTACCAAGAATGTCATTGAAATGTATTCTTAATGTACCAAGAACGGCATTGAAATGCATCCTTATGTACCAAGAATTTCATTGAAATGTAACCTTAATGTACCGAGAATGGCGTTGAGATATATTCTTAATGTACCAAGAACAGCATAGTCCTATATCGTACTAATCTATTTAATTCTCTCTGCAATGTACACCCAAATTTCGATTCTGCAATGATTTATTTTAAAAATTTGTGGACTTATATGGATGTAGGCCAGTCTACAATAAGATCATTTCAACTAATGACTTTACGAGTCTGCATAAAAGATTAAAACATATGCCCCTCTGATAGCTAAGAAAATCTAATACAATTTGAGTTTTATCAATTCTAATTCAATATTTCAAACTAAAGGGAAACATCCATTTCCATCTAAATTCATAGCAATCTGCACAGTAAGTCATTTCTACAGAGGCGTTTTCACGACATAATATATCTCAGAGAGGTTCGTAATAAGACACTAGTGTCCGTAAGACTGCAAACAAATCAATATCTTTTCTTTTTTATTTTCTAGAAGATATTTAATCTTATCGTCACTTGAAGTACTGATTCTAGATTAAAATTGAAACTTAAGTTACAAAATAATTTAACTTGATATTTTTTTCGAACACGACAAATTATATGATTGTTCTTCCAACCGTATAAAACTTGAAAGTAAACAAATTTATTACGTTTATAAGTGGTATCTATAGCAATGATTTGCCTGATACGCACCCATTCAAATACCACGGGCTCTGTTAGATCATTTTGGTGATGTATTTATAGTCGAGATGGTATAGGAGTTGGTGCTTACAGGCAATGTGACGGGTACAGTTTACCCGCGGACCAGGGTTCGAATCTCCGTCGAGTACGAATCAAATTTCTCTAACCTGTATGACAAAGCTATTTATTCGTATTTTAAAAATCGTGTTAGTATTATCAAGTATTATCTCATTTAGAAACCAGGGAGAGCCCTTTCTCAATAAATAACTATCGCAAGAAGCCTCTCCAGTCGCTGTGTAATCTCATTGATAGCATGATGTTTAAATGTTTTGACAATGTTTTATTTAGTTTAATACGTTGTTGGCTACAATATATTCAACATGTCTTTATATTCCATTCAATATGTTGTTGTCTATATATTACATTCAATACGTTGTTAGCTATATTCAGTTCATACATTGTTGTCTATATTCAGTTTACTACGTTACTAGCTATATTCAGTTCAATACTTTATTGGCAATATTCAGTTTAATACGTTGTTGTCTATATTCAGTTCAATACGTTTTTACCTATATTCAGTTTAATACGTTGTTGTCTATATTCAGTTCAATACGTAGTCGGCTGTATTACATTCAATACGTTGTTAGCTATATTAAGTTTAATACGTTGTTGTATGTATTCAGATCAATACGTTGTTATCTATATTCCATTCAATACGTTGTTAGTCATATACATTTCAATACGTTGTTAGCTATATTCAGTTCAATACGTTGTTAGCTATATTCAGTTCTATACGTTTAGATATATTCAGTTCTATATGTTGTTGGCTATATTCAGTTTAATACGTTGTTATCTATATTCCATTCAATACGTTGTTTGTCATATACATTTCAATACGCTCTTGTCTATATTATGTCCATTACGTTGTTAGCTATATTCAGTTCAATGCGTTGTTGTCTATATTCCATTCAATACGTTGTTGTCTATATTCAGTTCAATAAGTTGTTAGCTATATTCAGTTCAATACGTTGTTAGTTATATTCAGTTCTATACGTTTTGCTATATTCAGTTATATACGTTGTTGGCTCAACTGGCTATATTCAGTTCTGTACGTTGTTGGATATATTCCATTCAATACGTTATTAGCTATATTGCATTCAATATATTGTTGTCCATATTCAGTTCAATACGTTGTAAGCTATATTCATTCAATACATTCTTGTCTAAGTTCATTTCAATACGTTGTTTGGATATATTCAGCTGAATACTTTGTCGGCTATATTCCGTTCAGTACGTTGTTAACTATATTCAGTTCAATACGTTATAAGCTATATTCAGTTCAAAACGTTGTTGGCTATATTCAGTTTAATACGTTGTTGGCTATATTCAGTTCAATACGTTGTCGGCTATGTTTCATTCAATACGTTGTTAGCTCTATTTAGTTCAATACGTTGTTAACTATATTCTATTAATTTAGTTGTTGGCTTTATTTATTCAGTATGTTGTTGAATATATATATATATATATATATATATATATATATGTGTGTGTGTGTGTGTGTGTGTTTGTGTGTTTGTGTGTGTGTGTGTGTGTTGGCGAGAGAGAGAGAGAGAGAGAGAGAGAGAGAGAGAGAATATGTCGCTTTTGCTTGTCTTTGTCATTTTGAAAAAAAGGCGTTCAGTTAAAATCTTTCTGTTAAGAGATACAAAATATATGTAGCATGTGCCCTTCATTTACAGGTAGAATCAGTAAACTTCAGAAAGAGTGCTATTAATATTTTTCTTTTTATCCTTGATGTTACAAAAAGGTGTCTATATAAGAT